TCGCAAGAAGGATGGGTCTCTAAGGCTATGCATTGACTATCGAGAACTAAATCGCAAGACTATTGCTGACAGACATCCCATTCCTAGAGTCCAAGAGACCTTGGATAGTCTTGGCGGAAATAAGTGGTTCAGTGTACTTGACCAGGGTAAGGCGTATCATCAGGGGTTCGTAAACAGGGACAGTAGAGCAGCGACAGCATTCATTACACCGTGGGGGCTATATGAATGGGTAAGGATCCCATTTGGATTGATGAACGCACCTGCGAATTTCCAACGGTTTATGGAACGTTGTTTGGGTGAACTAAGGGACAAAGTGGCTATACCGTACCTCGATGACATCATAGTATTTAGTAGGACATTTGCAGAACACATCGAGCATCTGAGAACAGTATTGCGAAAGTTACGAGCACATGGAGTCAAGTTGAAGCCGCGCAAGTGTAGTTTGTTCAAACGCGAGGTCAAGTTTTTAGGAAGAGTTGTGTCAGGTGATGGTTACCAGATGGATCCAGGGTGTGTACAAGCTATCGAGAAGTTAAAGGAAGTAACACCCAAAACTGTTGGTGAAGTAAGACAGCTTGCAGGAATACTAAGTTACTACCGAAGGTACATTAAAAACTTTGCTAAAATTGCGAAACCGATCTATGACTTGCTTACCAGCACAGGACAGGATGGACAACAGCCCTCAAAGACGCCAATCGTTTGGGGAAGAGAACAGCAACTAGCCCTCGAGAAGTTAGTGGGACACCTCAGTAATCCACCCATTATGGCTTATCCAGATTTCTCAAAAGCATTTACTCTCCACACCGACGCAAGTAAAGACGGTCTCGGGGCAGTGTTGTACCAAAACCAGGATGGGGTCATGCGAGTTATTGCTTATGCTTCACGAGCGCTGTCACCAGCTGAGAAAAAGTACCACCTTCACGCAGGAAAACTTGAGTTTCTTGCTCTAAAATGGGCAGTGACTGAACACTTCCGTGACTACCTTTACTACTCGCCAAAGTTTACTGTTTTCACTGATAACAACCCCTTGACATACATCCTAACATCAGCGAAACTGAACGCCACTGGTTTACGGTGGATTAATGAATTAGCCGACTTCCATTTTGAGATCAGGTATCGACCAGGAAAAGCCAACGCAGATGCTGACACCTTGTCTCGTATGCCAATCAGTTTTGAGGGCTATATGAAAAGTTGTTCGGAAGTAGTTAATCAGGATGTTCTGGATGCTGTCACATCTTCAGTCCATGTAACTAACACCCCCCAGACCGCCTGGTTGTCATCTCTCACCGCAGTACACGACATGTTAAAGGAAGAGCGTGTAGACATTCCAACTCTGCCACGTGATGAACTTGTCGCAGCTCAGCAAGAAGATCCATCAATTGCTCGTGTTTTACAGTTTATTCAAATTGGAAGGCGTCCCACCTATCAGGAAAGGCAGCAAGAGACAGCTATTGCCCGACAACTCTTACACGAATGGAATAAACTGTTTATTGCTGAAGATGGAATCCTTTATCGGAAAACTGGGTGTGGAGACAAAATGGTTTTACCCAAGAAATACCACAAAAGGGTGTATGAAGAGCTACACGAAAACATGGGGCACTTGGGTGCCGACAGAGTAGTGGAACTAGCTAGAGAACGCTTCTATTGGCCGTTTATGAGAGCAGACATCACCCATTATGTCACAAAAGTGTGTCGTTGCCTGAAGCAACGTAAACCCGCAACTCATGTCCACGCACCACTTCAGCCTATCCTCTCCACAGCACCTTTCCAACTCGTCTCCATGGACTATGTTCATCTCGAACCAAGCTCGGGTGGATACCAGTACATATTGGTAATCATGGATCACTACACCAGATTTGCCCAAGCATACGCCACCCGGGATAAGTCTGCGAAGACCGCTGCCAACAAACTGTATAATGACTTTATCATGAGATTTGGGTTTCCAGGAACCATTCATCATGACCAGGGCGGAGAGTTCGAAAACAAACTCTTCTACAACCTTGAGAAACTGAGTGGGATCAAACATTCGCGGACAACCCCCTACCATCCACAAGGGAATGGGCAGGTTGAAAGGTTCAACCGAACACTTCTATCAATGCTGAGAGCCCTGCCAGAGAAACAGAAATCCCGTTGGCGTGACCATCTCAATAAAGTAGTCCATGCATACAATTGCACTCGCCACGACTCTACTGGATTCTCACCTTTCTATCTACTATTCGGTAGGACGCCAAGGCTACCCATCGACCTAATGTTTGGCTTGAAACCTCCAGAGGGATATTCTACATACCCTGAGTATGTTAAAAATTGGCGAAGAGCCATGAAAGAAGCTTACGAACTAGCCTCCGCTCATGCAAAGAAAAGTGCAGACATGGGGAAACAACAGTATGACAAGAAAGTTAGACATACCACGCTACGTGAAGGAGACCGTGTTCTTGTGCGAAACATGACGGAGCGTGGTGGCCCAGGAAAGTTACGCTCTTATTGGGAGCAAGAAATCCACGTTGTTACTCAAAAGAGGGAGGATATGCCAGTTTACGAGGTAAAACCAGAGACTGGTAATGGAAGGACAAGAGTTCTGCATCGCAACCTGCTGCTACCATGTTCCTTTCTACCTGTTGAGATACCACCTAAGCCATCCAAGAGTCGTCGCACGATGCCCAGGACAACCCGAAGACAGCAGGAGCTACAAGAGAACACAACCAGAACCACTGATGAGAACATCCCTGGGTTAACACCTGGTCAACTTCAAGAATTTTACGAGTCTACGAGGAATCATACTGAAGACAATTGCCAAATTGTTCCAGAGTTAGATGAACACGACACTTACCCTTGTCAAGTTGATGGTCCAGGCTCAGAGGGAGAGGCTGAAGACACAGAGCAACCAAGTGGTGCGTTCGATGATGAAGCTGTAGATGGTGTACCTCTAAGACAGTCACAGCGCGTAAGCAGACCACCCCTCAGGATGACCTATGATGCAATGGGACAACCCTCCTTTCAACCCAGTTCCACAACAGGAATTCGCGGCATCACAGCATCATATCCACACCAGTTATGGCAGCCTGTCCCGGTATCATGGATGGTGCAACAACCTGTCTTTCAGCCCTTCAGTTATTTTGTACCTTTCCCAGTACACGTTCAGCCGATGTATCCTGTGCCTGCGTGGCGTTACCAGCAAGCCTGGTGGCATTAACTTGAAGAGAAAGGAACTGATTTGGACCAATTGAAATTACGTTCGTTT